ATCAATAGAAAGTTAATCTATTGAATAAAAATAATGTAATAAATCTTTAGAATTATCACAATGTAATATTCAAATTTAATTTGATATCTATACATTCAAAGTACAAGAAAAAAATTTTTTTTTTGGTTTGAATATTGTTATTTTTTATTTTTATTTTATTTTATGTAAAATTTATATGTTATTTCAAATTCCCTAATAATTCCATATACATCAATTTTCTAAAAAATTATAAAAAAATAAATCATTATAAAATATATGGAATTATGATACAGAATCATCAATTACATATACAAATCTTATAAAAAATATATCATTTCCTTATTTTTGATTTTTTATAGGAAATATAATCTTTAAGTTTTTCATAATAAAAACAATATTATCAAATACTTTAATACATTAAGGATGGTATACTTTTAATATTTCACATCTATATTACCCAATATATAGTACTTGAATATTATATCCATTTAAATACTAAAAATGTTTAGTACATCCCAGTTTTTGTGAAAAAAGTTATATATTTATTGTAAGAAATACACCTATGCTATTGAATTATTTATGTTTCAAAGCTCTTTAACTTTTTTTCTCTTAAATTATGCAAGTATTTATTGTCAAATTGGAAATGCAAATCACAAACTCTTAATTTTAATAAATTATTATTTACTTCTTTTAATGATATCTTAATCTATTTACTATGTCAAAAAGGTTATGCAATACTCTTATAGTTTCTTTCTTTTACTAACATCTTTACTTGACATTAATGAAATCAATTACTACACATGCAATGAATTCTTTTTGTTTTAAATTTGTTATAATTTTATCAAATTCATTGTTATTATTATAGTAAGATTGTATTTTCTCACTTTAATTCTCACTTTTACTTTTAAAACCTGATTCTGTATAATTATCTGAATCAGAATCACTAATTTCATTATCTTCAAGTATTTTATGTAAAAGCTAATATTACATTCACAAGAGTCAATAAACTCAGATTCATTATCTACATCATTACTTTCTATATTATTATTACACTTTCTTCATCATCTTCTAATTCTTCTAACTTCTCTGTAAAAGTTTCAAAAGGAAAATGTAAAGAAAAATTGTCTTTATGTTCAAACATTTGTAATTATTAGTTTTTTTGAAAATCGAAAAAATAGGATAAAGTCAGACCTGAAATGCTAACTTTTTTTTGCTTATATAAAGACAAAAATATTTTTTTTATGATCTCTTTGGTTGATTATCTTAGTGTTATAAACTATGGTGAGATAGCATTTTCACGTGTCAAATTTGACAATTTTTCATCTATAAAACCGTTTTCCTAGTAGCTCAATATTTTTCTGATCTTGATAAAAATTAATACACTGTAGCTCCAACATAAGATGAAATTATATATAAAATTTCAGTATACATTATTTATGTAAATTTTTTTATTTTAAAAAAAAACGGTTTTATAAAAAGTGATCGACATGGATATTAAAATTAGCCGATCCGTGACATGATTAGTGTTTTAGTTTAAATATTTTAGTTTAAAATTTATTCTAATAAATAATTTAAATAATTATTATATATATATATAATGATTTTTATTTGATTAAACTAAATGAAATTCAGTTAAAAGAAATTAATCATTTGGTTAAATATTATAATTCAGTTAAATGGTCTAATGATCATTATTATTAAATTTTTTTTTTATAGTCAACAAATTCTAGGGTAAGAGTAGAAAGATCATCAATAGCAGTTTGATTATTTTTCTTGACAAAATTCTTTAAAGCCATTTTAATTTCCGACCTTAATGTTACTTTAATGAGTTTAAAATAAGTTTTAAATAGGATTCTAATCAAAGTTAATTAGGTAAAAGTAAATCATTATAAGCTGTTAGCATGTAATTTTGGCCGGACATGTATAATTTCAGTTACCTCCGGTTGGAATTATACCGAAAAGGAATGAACTACACGTAAACTTCTTTTTCGGAATGTTCGGAGACTAGTTTATTTAAAAGTATTTGTTTTGCTTGTTGGATATTTCCAAAAAGATCTATCAAGGTGAACAATAAATACAATAAATCTCCTGATCGCGTCAGTGAGTTACGTGGTCAATCCGGACCGATCTAGAATTTGAAATCCAACGATTTGATTGGTCAAATTATTTAGTCACACGACAATTCAGTAACGTTACTATAGAAAGGAATTAAAATAAAAAAGCCTCGAAAAAGCAGGCACAGAATTAATTCGATAGAAAATTGGGAATTTTATGCAAACATTGCCCAACCCTATTTTTAAAAACACCTTTAAAAGTTGCAAATAAATTTGGACGGCAAATATTTTTTCGGCAAGATACCGAATAAAAAAGTTGCATGAAACATTGCGGAGTTTTTGCGGCAAAAAAATTTCATTTCCCGAACAAGTAAATAAAGATTGCATCAATCTAAGGTTCAGACTATTTTTATTCACGATAATAAAGGCGAATTTCTCAATTGCTATGCGGTGTATATTATATTTTAAGATCTATTTAATTTGTAAAAAAATTGAAATTGCGGCCAAAATGCTTTAATATTTTTTTTTGCTCAAAGTTCAAAACAAGAAAAATAATATAATTTTTTTTTTGGATGGATAGACATAACAAAAACAAAACATAATGTATATGGTAGATTTTCATGAATATCGAAAAAAAAAATTTAAGCTTAATGATTAAATGATTGCGATTTGTGATGATTATCGCATACTAATATAAGAAAGATTTAGTTATATTCGATCTGTATGTCCGTGTTGACAACAAGGTTGTTCTTTTAGTTATCATTGATCCTCGATTACATAGCGCACATTTGATACGCGACACACATAATATATTAGTATAATCAATGTTTAATGAATTTTCCAAGAAAGTAACTTGACAACTTGGGAAGTAGAACACTAGTTTCACTTTTTGATGAACATTACGAATGTGATTTTAGAGCTCAAAGAAAAGAATTATGAATATTAATTATTCTTTAAAGCAGCAATTATAACAAAAAACATAGATTAGTTGACATGATAAAAAATTTTTTATAGTCAATTCATTGCATTGCAAGATAAGCCAATGACCGTTTTAAAAAATTTGATAGTCATTGTAATACCGAGAATTAGAAATTTTAATTTCTTCATGCTTCTTGAATTACTCCAGAATTCAAGCATATAATTTTTTTTTCATTTATAATAATAATAAAAATTTGATTTGATTCGAATTCACATCACCAACTTTCACAAAATAAATATCAGACATTAAAATCACTTGAACTCTAAATGAAAACACGGTTGTTTAACATTGCATAACGTATTAAATGCTTCCGCTTCCAAATCGCCAAAATATAAAAATGAATTCTCATGTTGCAATATATATTTTATATTGGTGTCCGAGCACCATTCAAGAAACCTCAACCAGGGAATAGACGAGGAATATAAAAAAAAAATTTATAATGAGCTTGTAAAATTCTATAAAAGTAGCATCCGAGCACCTACTTTGTGAAACTGACAATCGGAATTCCTGAAAATAAATGTTCATTTATTTTTTTTTTTTGTGTTTCTTGAGATGATCCAATCCTATTGATTTCCTTTTTTTTATACATCTAAACTTCCCGAAAAAAAATTTTCATCAAGAGTTCGAAATATATATATATATATATATATACTGTGATTATTTTGAAATATCCTTTCGCAAAAATTTTAAATAAACACCACAGAAAAAAAATTCGACACGATTAATACAGGGTTGGTTGAAAATTGGAATTGTGTAAATTGGGAAATTCCCGATTAAAAATTGTAAAGAATTGAAAACCCATGATCTAAAATGCAACATAATTAATAGATTGTGTAAGCACGTCCGGTGACGATCGACATTCGCGGTTCCGAATTACGTTTGTGTAATTATTATTATAAATTATTTTTTATTCTATTTAATGCTTTAGATCGTAACGTAATTAATAAATGAATTCCAAGGAGTGAATTAATTCGATATAAACGCGTATAATATGACGTGATGGTGTCCCCATATTTGTTTACAATATCTCAATAAGAAAGATTTTAAAGTTTCTTTGTCGACCAATAAATTTTATTATTATAAAAGACACCATATTCAACGCTATGCGGATTCCGATCCACTTTAATGAGAAAAATATCTTGGCGATAATCAGATAGTAACGGGCCGCATGCCAATTCCCCTACATTGCACTACAATGTAAATGAACCAACCACTAAAATTATGCTTGAAATGAGGTTAAATAGTATATAATAAATGACCAGGTCAGCGCCGATCGTTGTCTATTTCGCATTGACAATCTATACTAAATTAAATGTATTACCTTTATTTGATGCTTTCCGTTTGTAGCAACATTACTTTTCGAATTAGTTGAATCTCCAAATTATGATACCGGTTTCTCTTTGAGTAGGGCTGAACTTTTTTTTTTTTTATGTACATGTACAGAGTAAAGCCACTTTTCTCATAATTTCAACAAAATTTGTTTCTAAATAGAGTATTTATACAGTTAATGTATAATGTTACACAAAATGTCTGTTGTTATCCACTGAAAATCATATAAAAAAAAATAATTATCCCTCCCTTTTTTAAACTGTAAGTCAGTAAACTTTATTTATATATATATATATATTTTTTAAAATTAAAAATCGAAACCTTTTCATGTAATTTTTTTTCAAAAAAAAAAAAATAAAATTTTCATAATTTTTTTTTCTTTAAAAAAAAAAAAATCTTTTGTATTTAAACTTGCTCTTTTTTTTTTAAAAAAAAAAACATATTTATTACAAGGGCAAGTTTTTATACTACAAAATATAAACTTTATCTCTTTCAATTACTTTTTTTTTTTTTTTTAAAAAAAAATTATTTTATTTAATTTTTAAAATCCATTTCATTTAAATATATATATATATATATTTTTATTTAATCCTTCGCGTTACTTTTTACTCAAATATAAAGAAAATTAAATTTCTCCCACTCATTTAATTTCTGATATGATGTCTTCAGCCATTCCTAGTAAGCGTACACGCTTATCCGAACTAGAACAAACACACCAACAACAAAATCTTCAGAACCTCCAACAACAAAATTTACAACAGTTTAATCAACATTCTCAATTACGCCAAATGTATCCGAGTCCAAATCAACATCAGCATCAATTGGTTCCTGGAGAATTCATTCAATCCCCACAAGTTCAACAGCAACAAAAAGAATCCGAGTCTCCGCTACTGACGCAACAAGATATTCACCGCCTTGGAAGAGGGATTGATTTATTAATCGATGCTATAATTCCAAATAAAAGTCAACAAGCCAAAGAAGCAGCTACAACTATTATCAATTCACTTTCTTCTTTAAATTGTTCTGATAATCTAGCGACACAAAAAAATGATTCGAATTTCACCCAAAATTCAAACTCAAATTCACTTGTATTAGACATGCCAAATCTTAATGAACCGACGCAAAATAAATCAGAAAAGATCGCGTCTCCATTGTGCCAATTGTTAAATCACACATACCCAAATAGTATAGTGGAATTGGTTAATAAACTCTCTAAAATGTCTTTGAATCCCTTAGATTTGCCTGTAACTTCCTCTTTATCCTCTTCAACAAATATTACAAAGTCGATAAGTAATTCCTTACCGAAGAAAGTACCTTCTTCAATACCTGCTAACAATCCCTCCAAAATATCTCCTCCATCAAATGAATTATGTCAGCAATTAATGCAAGATTATTTTAATCATTTCAACACCACAATTCCAATATTGGATCGTCGAAAGTTTATCGATCACTGGCGTAATAAAAATACCAAACACTCTCAACTATTGGTCGCTTCCACTTTAGCTTTGGCTGCCGCAAGGTATTCCGATGACCCTTCCATTCAAAAAACTCACGATAAGCCTGGTGGCATTTTTTTTGATTCTGCAAAGGTTAGTTATAAAGATTATTTAAATTTAGAATTAATTATAAACCAGGTTCTGACGCCAATATCAATTTATATTATAGAAATTACTCGATACGATGTACGATAAGCCTCGGTTGGAAACCGTGCAAGCATTATTATTGCTTTCTCACGCAGAGTCTAGTTTATCACGCATAGATAGCAGTTTTATGTTTTTAGGCATGGCTGGTAAGATTTAAATCTAAAATTTAAACAGCATGAGACTTTATAATCAATATCAATATCAATATTAATATATATATATTTTTTTTAAAATAAAAAGTTCAGATGGCACATACGTTGCACCTTGGTCGTAACGAATCTTCTAATTTTATTCCCGAGGAAGATGAAGAAAGGCGTAGAGTTTTTTACTGTGTTTACTGTTGTGACAGATGGATTTCATTTATAATGGGAAAGCCATACTCGATCGACAATATAAACATAAATGTTCAATTACCATCATTACCCTCATTCGATCCACCAACTCGAAATTTCTTTATATCCTTCATAAAGTTATCACATATAATTGGAGAAATTTGGAAATTTGGTTATTCATCACAACCAAAGGCAGCACAATCAAATTGGATTGGTCACGCGATGGACCAAAAGAGTATGTTGAGACAAATAAGAGCTGCATTAGCAAAATGGTTGAAAGAATTACCTGACGAATTACAATATCAATATTTACCAAACACCGATACTAAAAGTTTATTTCAATTGGCAAGATTTTCTGTTCATGCGGGATATATTAATATCCTGTTTCATACTTGTATTATTTTATTACATCAACCTTATTTGACTCAGGCTTATGACAATCCAAAAATTGAGGCAAACCAAGGTCCAATTAAAACTTGTCTTACTGCCGCGACCACTATTACAGATATTGCAAAGACAACGAGGCATTTTGATAATAAAGCATTTTGTAACTTTTTATTCCCAATATATGGAATATTACAATCTGCTGTAATGGAAATGGTCATCATGAATGGTTCTGCTGAACATGCTCAAAGTGCAAAGAAATCTCTAAATGATACTTTGGAAGAATTAAGATCTGCTGCAGATAACGCTAATTATGGTTCTCTTCAAGAGATTGTAAAAGAATTAGAATGTATTATGATGATCGCTAATGGAAATACTGATAGTAGTCATATTTCAATTCCATTTCCACTGGTTTTACAAATGTTAGAATTTCAATCTGCCCAACAAAATAATTTCCAACATTCGCAAAAACCATCTCCCATTAATAACAATAGTAATAGTAATAATAATAACAATAATGCATCTTCCAATTCATCATCGATAAATCAATACTCGGATGATAATGATTTCATGGATGACTCTCTAAGAATTGAATATCCAAATTCAAATGGAGATAATTTAATTGATAATGAATCTAATTCTTCGATAACTTTGAATAGTTTACAACGATCTTCAGCGAACACAAATTCGTCGCCGCCCTTACAGCAGCGATCAGAGATACAACAATTACAACAAACTCAACAAGTAATAACTCAACAAATACAATCACAATCAAATGTGTTTATGATGTCATCGCCAACTTCCAATACAATCTTTAATACATCGTCACAAGATAATACAACGCCAGCAGCCAATTCGTTACAACCATATCACCAACTTTCATCGTCATATAGTGGAAGTAACCAACACGCTCATGATATTTCATCACAATCTGGTAACTCTCAATGGGAATCTTTTTATAATGATGATTACATGTTTGACGTAAATCAGGGTAATGTTAATAATGTTAATACAAGCAATACGGAAGTTACAGCTGCTCCTCATCATGTCATTGATGATTTATCATTATATTCTACTTCCCCGAGTTTAATACATACCTCACAAACGAGTCATCATCATCGTCTTCATGATGGGAATGGTGGTACTTAGTAAAAAAAAAAAATTGAAATAAAATAAAGGGCATATATATTAAACGCGAATAAAAAAAGAGGTTTAATGAAACTTTTGTAGTTTCTTAAAATCATGTTTTTAATTTTGTAACACTTGTATGTACTAATAGGATGTGATATAATAAATATATATAGAAATATATATTTAAAAAAAAATATATAATATATCTGTATTTTAAAAAAAAATAAAAAACTATTTATAAATTAAACATTTAGTTTGGTTTAACTTATTTTATTTATATAAAAAATATAATATTTTTATAATAAATAATTAAACAAATAATTTTTTTAAAATAATAATAATTATTGTTTTATAATTTTCTTTTTATATATTATAATAGATAATAATTTTCAAGCTGATATTACTATTTCAAATTATGTGATAAGTGATTATCACTTTGAATTACTAACCACTTTTTTAATTATATATTCTTTCATTGCTTATAAGAAAGTCTTTTTTACTCTTATTATAGAGGTCTTAATATAAAATGCTTAAAAATTAATTTAAAAATTATATTTAATATATAAATTTATTTTATATATATTTTTTTTTTTATAATTTTTTTTTTATAAAGTTTATTTTTTAAAATTATTAAATTTATATAAAATAATAAATTTTTTTAAATACTTATTTCATTTTTAAATATAATTATTTATTAAAATTTATTTAATATTTAATTATTTAAATTATATTAATTTGTTTAATTTATATTAAATAATAATAACTTATTTTATATAATGTAAAACCTTTATAATAAATAAATAATTAAAAATATTGAAAAAATCTGATTATATGATTAAATTTTAATTTAGTAAGGTCTATTTATAAAAAGGAATCAATTTATAAAATAAAAAAAATCTTATCATATGATATTTAATAAGCTAATCATAATTAAAAACATAATTTTATTTACTAATATCTAAATCAAACTCATTATAAATACTATCAGAAACATTCCTATTTGATTATATTTTTTTATTACAAATTATGCTATTTTACTTATAATTTTCTTTTTATATATATCTATATAACACTAAGATTTAATGCATAATGACAAATTATAATTAATGAAACTGAATCTAAAGCTTTAAGAATAAAATATTTACAATGTTATCTAATATATTATTTAGTTATATTCTAATACATTTTTATATAATTTAATTCATAAGAATATTTTAGATAAAAGATACATTTGTATCTTTAATTTCTATTTAAGTCTATAATTTAGATTTCTGTATAATAAAATCAGTATATAATAATAAAATTCAATACATATAACAGTTTACTCTTTGAAAATCTGTTATTTTTCTTTTTCCTTATATAATTTACAATTTTCAATTAAACTATCTTTTTATAAACCTCTTTTATGAGAATTTGTTACATATCTTTAACTTGATTTGGATATTGTAGATGAAGAGGTCAAATTTTATCATGTCAAGATGATGAAAATATCGATCAAATTGAAGTTCATGATCAAAATCTAGATGTTGAATTTCATGAAAATAATTGAAAATATTAATGATATTGAAAATTTTGACAATTTTGATGATTTAGATATAATTTCAGATAATGAAGAAGAAGAAGATGATGATGATATTATTAGTCAAAACTATGAAAAAGAAGAAAATGATGATCTTATTGACAAAGATAAAGATAATAACAATGAAAACGTAATGCAAATTAAAGATCATAATATTATTAGCCAAGAAGTTATTAATGGCCTTTAACTTTTATATTTAAAATTATTACATAACTTTACAGAAGCGTTATTTGATAGTTTTATGAAAAAATTTATTATGAAAAAATTTGCAAAAAAAGGCCTTAGTTTGTATTAAGTTAAAAAATTATTAAAAAGATTAACAGAACTTGTTTCTATCTTTTATGATATGTGTGAAATTTCTTGTACAGTGAACTCTTGATATAACGAATTCTAGGATCTGGATATCAACTTCGTTATAAGCTTATAACGAATTTT